GTTTAAACTGTAGATACCTAAACCCCGGTATAGAGCAGGCTATCACACTATACCAAGAGGAGGAGGGAGAAGCGGGGAGGAGGTAGTTACTGTGCTCCATACAAACATCTCTGGCTTAGGCCACACTCTACATAGTTTTGACAGACAGAGGTTTTTGTATTCTGTTATGTTAGCCTTACAATATGTTGATGGCGTATAAAACACTGACATAGAAAAACCTACCAACACAATAGTAAGAGAGGGACCAATAAATGTCCAAATCAGGCCAGAGGATATAGATAACCAGCATCTACAAAAAAAAAAGGGAATGAATATAAAAGATGGAACCAACTTAGCAGAAAACGTCCGAACTTGAAAGCTGAAGGCGCTTTTTCGAGGGCGGGTAGGAAACTTCTTCACTAGGGCCCTAATATAGGGAATCTAAAATGGGGACCACTCTTGTATCAGGGTTTCCTCCATCTTGGATCTGAACGCTCGAGGAGATTTGTTATAGTACATCTGATGTCTATGCTGTGACTGCTGTGGTTCGCTTTTTCCCTCAGTACAATCTGGTCTTTTCCTTTGTTTTTTAATTATTATTATTATATATATTACTATACACCAGAACAAAGGGAGATATCTAACTGTACCAAGGGCAAAATTGAACCACAGCATGTACATTACAAATCAATGCTACGACGATTTATGCCGCGAATACATAATTACGTTCATCAGTTGTCATCAGTAGTTTGCGATAGAATGCCACTTACGTTTTTTCTCCTCCATATCCATTGCTTCTTGTGATTGCTAAACATATACTTACAAATATGAGTGGGACACCTGCGAGATAAACGACGAGTTAATTATTTAAAATATATTAAAACATCTTTGATTCATGATTATGACCAAGCTTATTCGATAAGAGTTTTCCTTGCTACATTATTTATCACTCCCGAGTTGAGTTACTTTAGTAGTCACTTTCAAGTGAAAATGAACATCTGTGAATAATAAAGATATACAAGTTGATTATGAAATAAGTAACTGTTTTCAATTATTAAATTTAAACTTTATGTGAATTTAGCACTGCTTTGCAATTGAAGAAGCAATACTATAATTAAATAAACAAAGTTTAGAGTTTTTAAAGGAGCACTATCAGGGTGATTTTAATGCATTTTTGGTAAAAATGGCGCTTTTGCTCAAACACAAAATGCGCCCAAAACAAAATAAGATATTTTAATAAAAGTGACTTGCTGGAGAGAAAAATTGTAATTAGCTTTTAGCCGAATTTGTTTATAGACTTTTTCAGTTTAAAACCTTTAAATCCTAATTATCTCTTTATCAAAACCTCTGTGCTCGAATCGCTTATGATCATGCTTCTGTTTTAACTTCAGTGTAATTCAATAGTAATTTTTAACAAAATCAGTACACGGTTTTCAGGTTTCAGTCGATCTAAAATCTTGTCACTTTTGAATCAGCCACTCCCCTGACTCCCCATCGACGTGTGTATTCATTTAACGTCAGGTAGTAGAAACCTTACCCCAGCCAAGAAAGTAGAAAAACTTTAGTTTCCTTTCACCACCAAACACTTTTACAATAGAGGAATAAATCTGTAATCCTTCAGCCAACATCCAGAACATGGCGCTTAGAAAGAAAAAGTGCAGCAAACTGGAGATAACCGTACAAAGAACCTACAAAATAGAAATTAAAAAAAAAACGCTGAATATAAGGCAAAGTAAAGTCGGGCCATAACAGAAGCTCCTAAAGAGTTTCTGTACCTCATTATCGAGGGCAGGAACGATTTTCCGTGGGGTGATTTTATTCTACATAGTCGACATGATGTTTCAGGGTTGCTTTTTCTTCTTGTCGTCGAATCTCGAGTCGTGTTCCGCTTCAATAACGCTTTTATCTACAACCTTACAGAACGGAGAAACGAAAAAGCGCACACCACCCGAAACGTATTATGGGTAATAGCGGATCATCGTTACTTTTTAAGTTTACAATGTTTCACCAGTCCCATTCCACCGCAAATTTTTATTTTAATGTTCGAAGCATCGTGAATCCGGGCTTTTGTTAACAGTCATTGATCATATCCAGTTTTAAACAGATAACTTTAACTGTTAATTATATTCAAGTGAATGGAAACTTACCTTGTATTTTATGGCGACTGAGCCAATCAAAAGAAGAACATTCGCAGTAAGAAGCGCGAGACACAAATTGACGTGAATCACTGTCTTTGGAGACTTCAAAATTCTACGTGTAAGACAAAAATAATGTGTACATCAATGAAGCACACAACGGGTACATTTACAATGATTACAGGACTCTGGTTAGTAAATTGACTGTACATAACTGAACGGTGCAAATAAAGATGCAAGTCATACTGATCCAGATGTGTTCATGGGGCATTTTAAAAGATAAAAACTGAAGATTTTAGCAGTTATTTTCACGATACTTCTTCGTGGTTATTTTTTAAGTTTTGTGGAGCAAAATACATCTCTTAGAATTATTGATGACTCGCTCTAAAGAGGCTTTTTTTGTTATATCTCGAGAACAAAATAATAGGTACAGACCAACAACTTGTCATCGTGAAAACCAAATACTTCACGCTACGTCAAACTGAGAAAAATACAAAGTTTATCTCAGACGACTAACCCCCATAAAACCATGTGAAGAATAAGTGTAATAACAATTCCAAGCAGCGAAAGAGAACAGCCGATCAGTGTGATATATTCCAAGGCTTTCCTGTGTCCTGTGTGTTCCTGCGAAGAATTCATATGTGAACCAGTTGATCAGCAAATATTATTACCAATGGAGAGGAAATAGTGTTCCGAATTATTCCTATGAAAGTTCTTCCCAAGTACCATAATACTTCTTTGAATTCTTGTTTTAGATAATGGAGGTTTTAAAAGGCACGGGGTTTGAGTCCGGGGGGAGGTTTGAACCCAGTCAGTGTCTGCATTTTGTGTTCCGCAGTAAATCATGGTATCAAGGTATCTTTTCAATTTCAAAGTTATTCATCCACCACACTTACTTCTTAAAAAACTGTTTGGTGAGAAGGTGTCGCTGAAAGCTCTAAAACGTTAAACAAGTCCACAACATCTTAAATGTACCCTATCTGCAATATGATTTACAATAAGCCCCCTCACCCTACTCTTCCCCACAATAATGCTCTAGTCACGTCATGCTACGAAAACCATTGTTACGTTCTGACTTGTTGAGCTGGAAGGATGAGACAGAAATAACTATTTTGTATAACTCAGACTACTGCCTTCTAAGATGCTATGTGCCTCAACTCACAGTGGATATCCCAGATGTGTCCATCAAAATCGCAAAGTTCGTCAAGTGATCACACTCACAAGTTACAGTTTCGTTTTTACGTGATGCAAGCCAACACCCATCTGTGGACCATCCCCCGCCTCGAGAATTTCTGAAAAAATAAATAGTAAAAATGTTGTTCTCACAAACACTCGAAGCGTCTTATTTTGACATTTTCTTGGCAGCGATCAAAGCGTTGGATACGAAAATGGTCGACCGCACAGTTTAGGATATTATATCCCCTTGAGTGTTTACACTTTCTTGGGGGAAAAAGGGCTTATTGCAACGCAGATTTGGCAGCCACAATTCAACTTTATGTTTTTTTCATCAACATTTTAACTGTTATTACTTACAGATTATAATCCCAGTAAACGCAAACCACAGATCCATTATCCGTCTGTTGAAAAAAAGGCAACATTTTACTGTTCAGTGATTCCCTGACTTCCTTTTTTATGTAAGCCTTTTTGACGTGCATGCACTTTGACTTACTATATTTGGCTAACATCGAATGGGGTGACTTTCTAATATCTTCCATGAAGTTCCCTAATAAGTCTTAGGAAAAAATTCATCCAACTGTATCTTGACTGTATACTTTATTGTTATAAGGTAAAGTCTGCATAC